CACAACACAAGGTGAAGAAATGAGGCCAGGGTTATCTGCCTAATGTTTTCCTCAGTTACATGCGGCACATGGAGGTTAATAAATTATATAACCCTATTTAAAATAAATAAAGTCAGCTTTAACAAACAAAATTTAACCATAATTATAAGTGTCACCTTCAGCACTGCTCAGATTTCCAGTGGCCAACAGCCACAGACAGCTAGAGCTTCCTGGGCTGGGCAGTGCAGATGCAGAGCATTTTCATCAATTCAGAAAGGTGCATTGGGAACAGAGAGTGCACACCTTTATTGTGAGTGGGAGAATTGATAAAATATGTATGCTTGTGCTTTGAAACACTGGATAGTTGAGCGCCCCCCAAGAAAAGAAAATGATCTCCTATAGAGTGCCCTGGAAGAAACCAGGACAGAGGCTGACATTTATGCTCTCGAAGATGCAGAAGTACTCATTCCATGCACTGATTCCAATCAACTACTTATCACCAACTCCATTGCTCAGATTGAGTACACTAAAAACACTGCCCCCTCAAAGATGCCTGGGGAAAATGGCTGATTCCAGATTTGGGGCCAGGAATGCAACAGAAAAGTGCACAGTGACCTATCTCATCAGGAAGAATTTGGAAAAGACTAAAAAGTCCGTGTTAAAATGGAGATCTTCACGTGAGTGCAGCAAGTCAGACTTATCAGGGAGATGTGAAATATTTTCTCTTACAGATTGAATTAAAGACCAGACGTGATAGTAGTAGCCAACCTACTATTTTATAATATATATGAATTTAATTGGAGTTACCTGACGAAAGGGATGATGCTTCTCCCAGAAGCCATGGATTATTAAATAGCCCAGTGCCAAGTGTGGAACACCCCCTCCAGCTGTTGGTCAGGGCTGTTCCAGTGATCCCCCAAAACAATGCAGGTATTGTTTTGATCTTGATTCCTATTGTCATTGCTCTTGATTCCTATTGCTTAAGACACCACACACGTTGGCCACAGGGTATGGAGAAATCAAGTTGACACTGACCAGAAACCTTCCTTCCTATTACCTAGTTTTCCTATTACCAGAAGATACTACCAGGCTATTGAGTGGAGGAAAGTTGTCAATGTTCTTATTCCTCTGTGAACTACAATAATGGCCAACATGGCAAGATATACCCATGGGTCAACAGTGGCATGAATATCACAGAGGTAACCAAGTAACTTTATGTTTCAATTTAAGGCCCACTCCACAGGAGGAAACACTTGCCTAATACTATAAATGTCATCATGATCCCATGGTTGGCGAGTTCAGAGGTCCCAGAGGTGAAACTACAACCACCACCACCACCACCACCACTACCACCACCACCACCACAACTAACACCATCACCACCACTAACACCACCACCACCACCACCACCATCACCACCACCACCATTACCACTAACACCACCACCATTACCAACACCACCATTAACACCACCACCATCAACACCACCACCATTACCACCACCATCACTACCACCACAACCACCACCACCATCATCACCACCACCACCACTAACACCACCACCAAAATCACCACCACCACCACCACTAACACCACCACCAAAATTACCACCACCACCACCACTAACACTACCACCATTACCACCACCACCACCATTACCACCACCATCACCACCACCACCACCACCACCACCATCATCACCACCATCACCACCATCTCCACCACCACCACAATCATCACCACCATCACCACCACCACCACCACCACCACCACCATCATCACCACCACCACCACCATCACCACCAGCACCACCACCACCATCACCACCACCATCACCACCATCACCACCACCACCGTCATCACCACCATCACCACCACCACCACCACCACCACCACCACCACCACCATCACCACCACCACCACCACCATCACCACCATCACCACCACCATCACCACCACCACCAATACCACCACCACTATCACTACTACTACCTTTACCACTAGTGCCATTACTACTACTCCTCTGGGAGGTGAACATTGTATGACACTTCCAGGTGTCACTAAGGTGAGCAAGTATTGCTGCAGAGATGAGAGAAGCTTCTTCATCAACTGATGTGTGTCATTAAATCACCAAGTTTCACGATAAGGGTCATTGGGTTTCCAAACCATCCAGGGAATGTCTCAAAAACACAAGAAACAACTGATATCAGAAAACAGCACCACTATGTGGACATGGAGCCAGAAAAGCCCAGGAATTTTTGCCCCGCCTCTTCCCCATAAGCCCCATGCACAGTCACTGCCCTGCCAACAGCAGCCATGGCCAAATGTTCCACTCTCTACACACTGCAGCTACATGGCTCCCGTTGACCATAATGGCTGTTCCAACCCACTCTCGCAACAGTTTCTACTCAGTTCATTCTACACACAATAACATAACAACAACAAGAGTGAAATTGTGACTCTCTCCAAATCTTCCTTTCATAGTCATAATACAACTGAAAGACTATGAGAGTCATCTACCTTTTCCACCTCACACCGACATGACTACACTGTCCGCCAGCCTCTAGGCTTGTCCTCTGCTCGTAGACCAAATGAGGTCCATGTGGACAAGCCCACCAACAAGGCTTGTATATCCCTTCTTCTTCTTGTCAATCAGGACTCGAGTCAAATGCTACCTGATGAAACCGACCTTTGGGGGAAACCCCACCTACAACAATCCCCATCACAGCCATTTTATGTCCACCTTGAGTTCTTTAAAGCACAAATAACATATGGAGTTGCTGCAATTACTGCTATCCTCTACTTACTGACAATTTAGCCATCTAACTCTGCTAGTCTTCTCAGTGCAGGAACCCGGTGCTCACAAAAGAGGCCACTATGTGAATATCTGGATAAACATACATGAAGGAATTGATTTATCTATTTGCTATGCCATGTAACACACTGGTATTTATGGGATTAACAAGAGGACATTGTATGGAATTAAGCAGTCTGTGATCCATATCCTGAAAGACAGAATGTAAAACCCACTAGCAATACTTTTTTTTAATTTTTTAATTTATTTATTTATTAAAGATTTCTTTGTGGAAGCCTAGCCAGTTTGGATGTTCACCTTCCTAGATATGGACGGAGGGGGGAGGACCTAGGACTTGCCACAGGGCAGGGAACCTGGACTGCTCTGTGGACTGGAGAGGGAGGGGGAGAGGAGTGGGGGGAGGGGTAGAAGGGTGGGAGGAGGGGGAGAAGGGTGGGAGGAGGGGGAGGGAGATGGGAGGCTGGGAGGAGGTGGAAACTTGTTTTTTGTTTATGTTTTTTTTCTTCTTTTCTTAATAAAAAAATTATTAAAAAAAAAAAAAAAAAAAAAAAAAAGATTTCTGTCTCTTCCCCGCCACCGCCTCCCATATCCCTCCCCCTCCCCCAATTTAGTCCCCCCCTCAGCCCGAAAAGCAATCAGGGTTCCCTGTCCTGTGGGAAGTCCAAGGAACCCCACCTCCATCCAGGTCTAGTAAGTTGAGCATCCAAACTGCCTAGGCTCCCACAAAGTCAGCGTGTGCAGTAGGATCAGAAACCCATTGCCATTGTTCTTGAGTTCTCAGTAGTCCTCATTGTCTGCTATGTTCAGAGAGTCCGGTTTTATCCCAGGCTTTTCCAGACCCAGGCCAGCTGGCCTTGGTGAGTTCTCAGTAGAACATCCCCTTTGTCTCAGTGTATGGGTGCACCCCTTGCGGTCCTGAGTTCCTTGCTCGTGCTCTCTCTCCTTCTGCTCCTGATTTGGACCTTGAGATTTATGTCCGGTGCTCCAATGTGGGTCTCTGTCTCTGTCTCCTTTCATCGCCTGCTGAAGGTTAATATTCAGGAGGATGCCTATATGTTTTTCTTTGGGTTCTCCTTATTTAGCTTCTCTAGTATCACTCATTATAGGCTCAATGTCCTTGGTTTAAGGCTAGAAACCAAATATGAGTGAGTACATCCCATGTTCCTCTTTTTGGGTCTGGCTTACCCCACTCAGGATAGTGTTTTCTATTTCCATCCATTTGTATGCAAAATTCAAGAAGTCCTTGGTTCTTACTGCTGAGTAGTACTCTAATATGTATATATTCCATACTTTCTTCATCCATTCTTCCATTGAAGGGCATCTAGGTTGTTTCCAGGTTCTGGCTATCACAAACAATGCTGCTATGAACATCGTAGAGCATATACTTTTGTTGTATGATAAGGCCTCTCTTGGGTATATTCCCAAGAGTGGTATTGCTGGGTCCAGGGGTAAGTTGATCCCGAATTTCCTGAGAAACCGAAACACTGACTTCCATAGTGGTTGCACAAGTTTGCATTCCCACCAGCAATGGATGAGTGTACCCCTTTCTCCACAACCTCTCCAACAAAGGCTATCATTGGTGTTTTTTATTTTAGCCATTCTGACAGGTATAAGATGGTATCTTAAAGTTGTCTTGATTTGCATTTCCCTGATCACTAAGGAAGTTGAGCATGACCTTAAGTGTCTTTTGGCCATTTGAAGTTCTTCTGTTGAGAATTCTCTGTTCAGCTCAATGCCCCATTTTATAATTGGGTTGGTTAGCCTTTTACGGTCTAGTTTCTTGAGATCTTTATATATTTTGGAGATCAGACCTTTGTCAGTTGCGGGGTTGGTGAAGATCTTCTCCCAGTTAGTGGGTTGCCTTTGTGTCTTAGCGACAGTGTCCTTTGCTTTACAGAAGCTTCTCAGTCTGGACAGCCATCAGAAAGAAGTGGCTATGCCACACCCCACTTCTCAGGTATTGATTCAGTGTCTGTTGTGGACCCAGATATCTAACATTTTAATAAGCATGATTTAGTGTCTGTCGTGGACACAGATATCTACCATTTTAATAAGCACTCCCTGCAAATGTGATGCAGTAATGCATGGCCCTTTCGGGGAAATGGTCTGATGGGGATGGCGTCCATTTCAGTCCTGGTCATTTAAAGGAACCCATGCAGACTTCTGTCATCTGGGGAGTCTATGAATGTCATTGTTCCACAGTGTGCTGCTCTTGCTGCTACCTGCTCAACAGGATGTGTTCCTACAAGGCATCACAGACCAGCTGCTGGTCACACGGATGGGAAGAGAAAAGGAAATGACTGACCTGGTGAGTCCCACATGATCTTGTCACTGTTGCTCAGGTAACAGGCTGAACAGACCACACCACTTTTGGTTCTTCTCCAGGAGTTGGTTCTGCATGGAAAGTTCACTGTTTTCTCCCCTGTTCTACTAGAAGGCAGAGAAGGAGTAGAGAAATCTCATGGAAAGGGGAGGAAGGCAGATGAGAACGCTCATGCACTCTACTGTACTGAATATAGGGATGGAGTAGTCTGTCTGCATCCAGTCAAGTCAAAGATGTGCAGTGACATCTTCCTCTTCTTTGTTCATCTCACAGACCCTTCCTATACAGACACACACACACACACACAAACACACACACACACACACACAAACACACACACACACACACACTCACACACTGGTGGCACTGATGACTCACATACTGGAAACAAGGGCTCATGTCAGCTTCTTGTCAACCTTCTGTGTGTACTCTCTAAAGTCTTGTTGTTCTTCTCATAGAAGAGACCTGACATTGACAACCTTGAAAAGGAACAAACTTGGAGGATGAACACCTGACTCCCAAACTCCTTATAAACATAGAGAAATGAAGACAGTGTGCCTCATTGGTAATTACAATAAGACAGAAAAGAATATGAAGGGGACAGAAGAGTCACACACGTGTGAGGGGACACCTTTAGCAAAGACACAAAGACACTTCAGTGAAGCAGGCATATGCTGGTCACCGAGTTTTTCTGGGACTGTTGGTGGTTATAGGAGGTACAGCCCAGCATCGTGATCAGCTGCCTAAGGATAACCCTGTTCCTTTGATGACCATGACCTTGGTAAAGCTGGATCTATGATTAGGATGCAGAAAAGAATTTCAGGAAAAGCCAGAATGAAGCAAAGCTTGTGAGCTTATTCATGCTATGGAAGAAGCTCACATAGTATAGGGATGGCTCAGGAATGAAGGCCTGAGTGAGGACTAGAGAGACTTGAGATTAGGGTGTGTGAGGAGGGCAGGAGAGTGAGAAATGTGAAGATTTTTATGGTTCTCAGAGTTACATTGTTACATTATTACATTGTTTGAAAATTACATGCTTTGAGTCTTTGAAATGGTTCTGTTTTTCCACTTGAAGAAAATATACAATAGGTTATTAAAAGTAAAAAATAAAAATGCTTTTAAATGTTCTTATCCCTTTTAAAAAACTTTTAGTAAATTAAATTGTAAGGTGAATATGTGATTCTGCCAACATTCTGGTCCTAAGTAAGCATAATTAATTAATTTTTTAATGTTTTTCACAAGGAAGTCTGTGCACCATCTGAGTGAATACCTATTGCTCACAGAGGGCACCAGAGTTTGAAATCTCTCAAACTGGAGTACAGACAGTTGTGAATCATCAGGTAGGTGCTGGGTATCAACCCTGGATCCTCTGGAAGACATCCAGTGATATTAAAGAATGACCCCTATCTTCGGACCCTAGTTTATTTGTTGTTATTTTTAAACTTTCTTTGAGATGTCTTTAGTACTACTTGCATTATATCTGTGGGTAATTTTGACTCTATCATTTGGGTGGAGGCTTCTTGAATGTCAGTTAGAAAAATGTAAAAATGATCACAGGGCCGGGCAGTGTTGGCTCACGCCTTTAATCCCAACACTTGGCAGGCAGAGGCTGGCGGATCTCTGTGAGTTCGAGGCCAGCCTGGTCTACAAGAGCTAGTTCCAGAACAGGAACTAAAAAGCTATGAAGAAACCCTGTCTTGAAAATCAAAAAAAAAAAATGATCACAGGGTGAGGGGCTGTGTATTCCCCTCTCATATCCCCTTCAATGCCCTGTTTTTCTGTCTTATTATGGGACAAGTGGACATCCTCATGGACAAATATAAATATAGACAAGTTGTTTATCACCGGATACAAAAGTCAACCAAAATTAACAAATGATCTACATAGGACTAGAGAGACATCTCTGAGGTTAAGAGTGCCTTTGGCTATTGCAGAGGACCTGACTTCAGCTTACAGTCCCCATATGGTGGCCCAGAGATACCTATAACTCCAGATCCAGGGGAGCTGACAGTCTTTTCTGGTCTCAGCAAGCATCTGCATTCAAATGTGCATACGGCACACACAAACATATAGGCAGATACCCAGTAAATAGTGAAAGCAAATCTAAAAGGTAATTAATCCAAAATACAACCTAAGCATGAATCTTGTAACAGAAAGCAATTGATAGAATTATAGATAAAATTCATAGATATAACAAACCCCTTTTATGAAAAGAAGAACTGGACTGTTAGGACTTCCATAAAGTGAAAAATGTAAACTGTGATATAAAAGTTATTTTCCCTGCCTGGGAAAAAAATGAATGTAGGAAATTGTGTATTAGATGACAGCCTTATTGTTTCCAGAATACAGAAAGCCTAAAAAAGAGTCACTAAGAAAATACACAATTCATGAAATAAAAGTTGTCCAGAAGGGTGAGTAGATGCTCCACTAAGAGAAACATACAGCATCAACATCCTTAACACTTAGGGAAGAGAGACAGGTGACTCTAGGGGACTCTTGACACCCCCACAAAATATACAGAAATAATAATATGAAGACCTGGCAAGGTTGTGGGGGATGAAACTATCATACTGACTGCTGGTAGCCATGGGAAATAGGACAATAACTTGGAAAAATATTTCTCAGTTTCTTGATATGTTAATTGTCATTTGACCAAAGCTGTAACAACTTTCCTGATGGAGCAGAGCTGTTACTTTGAGGAAAGCTTTCCCTGAAGCAGATCTGTAAGCTGCTAAGCTTATACTGACTTTGTGGTATTCCTTGCATCTGGACGGCCAGGATCCCTTTACATTTGAGCTGAAATGTTTACACTACACATATATGTTTTTAATTGTACTCATTGTCTGGCAGAAAGACATCTCCACTCTGCCTTATGGCATCCAGGTCCAGAAGGTGCTAGCCAATCACAGACCAGCCAGAGTCCTCAAAGCCTGGTCTGGCTGGTAGACAACCAGAGGCCTGCCCAGAGCTACAAGGCTTCCATTACAATGAGCAAAATGTGTGGTGGAGAAACAGGAGAGAAAGAGTAGCGGGATAGTTCATGTGCTGTGAAAAGAGGGGGAATAGAAGGTGGTAAGGAAAAGGCTGAGGGGGTGGTCTTCTTGTCATTCATGGTCATGGTGTCAACAGGACCGAGGTTGCTACCAAAGGTCATTTCTGGGTCTCTGGTCTTATTGCAGCTCGGGTCTATGTTAACATCCATGGTCCATGCTGCCACCAAAGGGCACACAGGAGCCTGGAGTCTGGGCTGTGTCCTCTGGCCTTGTTGGGATCTGAGCGCTGTGTTGCCATTGGAGTGACAATGATCTGAGAGACCCGAGCTGCCAACCTGGTGTTGTGCATGCCTGAGCTGCTGACCAGGGCCATATCTGTGACCCAGCAGTAGCCAGGGTCTTTGTCTTCCTGACTCCTGTTACCAATGAAGGCCATGCGGATGCCTGAAGTGTGGGTCACCACCTGAGGCCACGTTGGTGTCCAAAGGCTTTGCTGCAGCTGGTGCCATCCTGATCTGTGTGGTCTGTGAAACCACCCGGGAAATGGTGACATCAAGGACGAGTTGCTGCCAGGATCATGTTGGGTCTATGGTCCTACCAGAGCTAGGGTATGTGCTGATGTTTGTGGCCCATGTTACTACAGGGGGCCTTAAGAGCCATGAATGATGATATCCAAGGGCCAGAGTGAGCTGGTTCTGCCCTTTGGTGGACATTGTGTCAAGAGCTGGCCCTGACTTTCACAGGAGAGTTAGTCCCACACCTCACCATGGGCATTGGAAAACTGGGCCTGGTGCCATGGGCATAGGTGAGCTGGCTTCGGCCCTATCCTTAGGCAGGCAGCTGATCAGCTCAGCTACCACCCAGGTCCATATTGGGGTTCTTGGCTTGGCCCATCCTAACATCTACACCATCTAAGGCCAACTGGAATGCTGGAATTGACTGGTCCTGGGGAACAATACCTGCAGAATCTCTGTTACTTGGGGTGACTGCAGGATATCCTAGAGGAGTTTTGTTGAGGGTCCCATGATGATAGTGTACCAGAAACTAGAGGCCATGAACAAGTTCAATGACTCATTGCAATGAAAGTTTACAAGTAAATATGTTGGACAAAAAGGTATACTGTGTGACTCACCTTATATGTAGATCGTATTAAAGTGTAATAGAAGCCCGAGTACTGCTTCTGATGACTTCAGTTGGATCCCCAGGACCCACATTGTGGAAGCAGAGAAATGACTCCTGCAAGTTGTCCTCTGACCTCTACAAGAACACTGTAGATCATGTATGGCCTTGCCAGACACACAAAATAGGCAGACAAATAAATGTAAAAAATGTAAATGGACATAACTTACCAAACACAAAACAAAAGCCAAAAATAACCGATGTTCTTATTGCTGACTGAAATAGACTCTAAAATGATTGCTTTTTTCAAGACATATATCTGAAACAAAGGCATTAAAATGTTATCTTGAACACGTAAAAAGAAGTAAACACATACCATCCAAGAACGAATTATTAGAAATCTAGAGTTATAATCTTAACGTTTAAGAAAGAACTAAAACTAAAGTGGAATAAAACAATTTTAAAACATGCAGTAATGTTATGTGTAAAATTCATTAGGAGAATGCTAATCTTTCATACTTATATTTCAGTCACAAAGCAAAATATGGATTGAAGGAAAATTACAAGAAAGTATAAAAGCCGATTAATAATTGCAGATGAATGCAAAGTAGTTTTCTCAATGTGACCACAATCATAGGAAAATAATTTATTAAATGAGAGGCCCTGCATAACCTAACCTCAAAGGCATATGCCCTGGGAAGACATATGGAACTCTTAAGTCTGATATAATCTTTTTTGTTGAAAGCATGGATTATTCCGTGATGGGAACTTCATTTGATGTGTAATGCAGTTTCTCCCCCTTTCCTTATCAGCGTTTGCAGGTTATTATTGACAGTCCGAAACAAATGAGAGAAATATCCCAGAGACAAGTCCATGGCCATCGTCACAGATATCACACGCAAAAGACATACATAATTTAGTAGCTCTCACTATCCTGTGTGTGGTCAGAGATGAAACTGTTTTAACGTGATTGTACCCCTTGAGCTCTCAGTAAACACCAGGGAGCTAGGAGAGTGAGAATGAGAGGTGTCGTGTGTGTGTGTGTGTGTGTGTGTGTGTGTGTGTGTGTGTGTGTGTGTGTACAGGAATTCCTTGGCAGAGGCTGGTCTGCAAAGCCTGGTTGATTGACTCTTAGACCTGCAGTGATATGGAGATGGTGGAAGTCGCAGTCCCAGGGCCTAATTACAATTTCCTTTGTGTTCTTTTGAGCCCATGAGTAGCCACTCCTTGGGCCCCCTGTGCTGGACTTACCTAACACCTTGTCACTAACAGATGACGTTGGACCTGACATTTAAAATATCAGAATATGTCTCCTTATCAAAGCTTTAAGTTTCTACCAGTCAAAGGACTGCTTTTCATCACATAGCAGCTAGTGCCTGTAGCTGAGGTTTCTCTGCTTTAACATAACAGTCTACTTAATATTATCACCCATGTACTTAAGGAGAGTCTATAGTTTCTTCATTCTGTGATTATAAATACTTCATGAAACTGTTTCCACATTGTAACTTGCAATTTGTACTAACATAAACCTGTCTCACTCATGTTTACTCACATATATTTGACTCCAGAATGAACTCTCTTCTTCCTTCGAGGTGAGAGCTGTGTGTTTACATTGACATTTGTTAGTGTGTGTTGTGTATATACTCATGCTTGTGCAAATATGTCCCTGGATATATATGTGTGAAAGTTAGTTAATCACTTACTGCTGTGATAGGCTATGTGTTATAATTCTCCTGGTCCTCTTCAATGATGACCTGGTGTGTAGTATACTGCTTACTTATCTCCATAGTTCTTTACTCATGTGCTGACCGATATCAGTATGGCTCAACACCCATTTTCCCAAACTGTTTTCCTCTATTGCTGTTCTCTATTTCAATGCTCCATTTGTCCCAGTATGGCTAGAGGAATCCTTTAAAGATGGCATCTGTGTTCATCTGGTGCCTCTGGAGAGGAGATGGAAAGTCTAGGAAATCCATCCATTCCAGTGTCAGGGGATTCAAGGTGACCATCACATTCATATTCTCTACAGAGCACCACTCTGTATCCCATGTGCACTGCCCACTTTACACTCAGGGAGGATGAAGTGAGTTGTGGAGCACTACAGTTGCTGCAATCCATAAATGGAACTGCTCTAGTATTGTATCAAGTTTCCAAACACACTGAAAACGCATTGCTATTCCATAAAACATCAGCCCCTTTAAAGAAAATAAATGTAGGCATGTAGTTTGAATGCCACCTCCTGGCCATAATGGGGACTACATCAGTGAGAGTCTTGGGCCCAGTGGCGTCTATGTTTGGGTGGGAGGGAACATTGGCTGTGACCTGGACTTAAAGGGACCTTACCTCTGGAGATAAAGCAGTGTTTTTTCACTTCAGTATATTTTCCTGGTACATAAACCTTGACATCTTAGGTATATCAAATGTAAACCAGAGATTGGAGACCAATCCCAGTCTAAGGCTAACATAAAGCAGCCTCATTAGATAGAGATGGTGGAGCTCTGTGTGCAAACACACACACACATATGCACACAGGCATGCACAGAGCATGAGAGTAGATTCCATTTGTCCTTCTACTTCATTGCCCAGAAACGGAACACAATGACTACTTCTAAAGTACAGAAGGTATAAACATCGTTTATCCAGTGTGTGGTTGTGTGCCCGTGTGCATATGTGTGTGCTTCTGCAATTGTATGCATACATGCATGTGGTCAGGGGACAGAAGGCAGCCTCCGGTGTTGTACCTCAGGCGCCATCCCCCTGAAGTTTTTCTTAGACAAGGTTTCTCACTGGCCTGGAACACGCAAGGCAGGCTGGGTTGGCTGGGCAGCACACTCCAGGGATAGGCTTGCCTCCACCTTCACACACAAGCATGTCCCACCACACCTACTACTTTTCCTGCTGTAGTTTATCTTCATTTTCTTGATGATGCTCTCTGTGAATGACACTCAGGGCCTCATGCCCACAAGGCCAGCAATTTATTGATTTAGCTGTCTCCCCAGCCCCACTTTTACCACCCGAGCACAAGCATTTTTCTCAGTTTACACTTTAAAGTACTTTCCTTCCTGGATACGAAATTTGAAACACCACCGGAAAGCACATGTACTACCATAAGGAAATCTGTGTCTGTCGCCGGGCTTATTCCTACCCCTAAGGCACAGGGCTGTCTGCAGGGAAATCTCCAGAGAGTGAGCTATCTGAGTAGAGTGCCAGCCGCCATTTTCTGTGCGCCTTGCTGTATGTGGTGGTGAGGAAGTCACTTCCCCATTTAGGGGATGGTAATCTTTAATGTGTCTGCCACGGACACACAGGGCTCTGCCTAACATCCAGTGAAAAGAGGATGGTTTCCCATGACAGAACTAAGCTGAAACTTTCCCACAGTGAATGGAACGATAATAGTCCTGCTAATTATTTTGTGTGTTTAGTGCAGAGTCTCAGAGCAGCCCAGCCCAGCCTGGGACTCTTCCCCTTCCTCCCTCAGCCTTCAGAGTGCTGCTGGTCCTCCCAGCTTACCACACTGCCCCAGCTCAAGTATTCATTTTAATGTAAACACATTCTTAATGCTACTGTTTTCTTCTCGGCCCAGTAACATTTTCATTCCATTTCTACATGTATATTGTTGAATTCCCACGAAATAAGTAATTTTATCATTGATTTCCCTGCAAAAATTTATTTTATAATGATCCACATCTCTTGTAAAACCATGTACTCTAAGATTGTTTTCCTAAGAAATTTCACATTTTCTGAGATATTTCTGGTTTTTGTTTGGTTTTCATTTTGAGGCAGGGCCTCTCTGTGCTATTAAGGCTGTTCTGAAACTTCTTAGCAGTAATGATCGTGTAACCCCAGTGTTCAAATAGCTGAAAGTGCACGCATTTGCCACCTAACGCTGATGAAAACTGTTCTCATTACTGCCTGGCATTTGACCATTTTTCTTCATTGTTTCACAACAATTATTTTAATTTGTACATAATTTTAAAATATACATAACTTAATAATAATTACGTTGTGTATATTCCTATGTGTATGTACACATGAATTCCGGCGCCTCCAAAGGTCAGGAGAGGTCATACCTTCCTGGAGCTGAGGTATGGTCCTTCAAGGATGTTGGAAATGGATGCTGGAAACTACCTTGGATCCTCAGCAACAATAGAATGCACTCTGAACCACTGAGTCATCTCCCCTGCCAGACTGTAGACTGTTAGATTCCGTTAGCCTTTATAATGTTCATATTTTAAATTCCACTGTGTTTTCCCCTTGGTCAATGACCTGGAGTTGATGCTTCTTTTTTTTTCTTGTTTAGATTTTAGTTATACTTTTAATTATGTCTGTCTGTCTGTCTGTGGTATGCACATGATTGGCAGAGGCATTGACTCCTGATGGGGCTAGAGTTAAAGGCAGTTGTGAGCTATCTGCCATGGGGGCTGGGAGCCATACTCTCATAAACAGTAATGACTCTCTTGTCTCTTTCCTCCTCCCTCTACGCCTTGAGTGCTGGTATTACAGGTGAGGGTGAACATGCCCAGAGGGTCAAAGAACACAGAGCAATTTCCATTCTAGGCAATCATTCTGCCACGAGAGCTATGTCGCCAGTCCCCATACTGTGGCTTTTTAAATTCACCAGTGATTTCTTTTCATGGTATAGCATTCTCATTGAACAGCTACCAGAGAAATCAAGAATATAGCTGGGAATGTGTGCACAGCCAGGGGAGCAATAGCAGTGTCTAGGGACCACTTTTAAAAATCCCCAAATGTGCTCCCACCACATTTGTGAAGAGCTTGGGACAGGGCCGTCAGATGCTGGGCAGATCTAAGTGCTGTAGCATCCTCGAGTCCAGCCTCTGGCAAGGACATCCTGTTCCTGAGAGCATGTCTCCTGCCAGCAAACCTACCTTACATGCCCAGCTTCCCAAAGGTCAGCAACAAGGGACTAGAGGCTGTTGTTGTACTGTCTGTGGATGTGTGTGCACAGCCAATGACCCAGACCCTGCAGAAGAATCACAAAACAGGAAGAAGGTTGGTCAAAGAATCAGACACATCCTTAAGCTCAGTACTGAAGACATAAAAAAAGAAAATTTGGAAATATAGCATAGTGTGTGGAAATAGAAATGACGGAGAAAGAAGAACAGGATTTCCCTTGCACGGAGATGTGAGTGTATGTGTCCTGATGTGGGGCTGTGCCTCCCTAGGAGTATGGGGACAATGATGAAGGGATCCCAGAGATATCTGAGAAGCCGGATTCTGCGTTTGGATGTCTGTACAGCAATGGTTCTCAGCCTTCCTATGCTGTGACGTGACTCTTAATACAGTCCCTCATGCGTGGTGATCCCAACCAGAAAATTATTTCTGTTGCTTCATCATCGCTGTAAAGTTGTTACAGGTAAGAATCACAATGGAAATAGTTTTGGAGATAGACGTTTGCTGAAGGGGTCAAGTCACAGGTTGAACCACTTTTCTAGAGTCAGAGAGATGTGGGACCTTCCTAGCCCCAGCAACTTTGGTTCCCTGAGCCAGGATGTCCTGGACCCATTCTCCAAACACAGGCTGGGAATTTCTGTGAGGAGAAAACAGAGTGAGACCCTCTGCTCTGAGCTGTGCTTCCCACTCTGTGAATTGAGAGCATCACACTGCTCATGTGCTAATTTGGGGGTCTTTAGTGATAATACCTGCTTTAAATACCAGTCACAAGTTCCTGCATATGTGACAGACTAATGTTGATATATGCAATTGGAATTACAGGCTGGCCTTGAACTCAGACATCCAACTGCCTCTGTCTTGTGAATGTTTGCTCCATTCCCTGCTGTCAAAAATAAGCATTTCTAAAGGCAGTCTTCTTCTGGAGAAATAGGGACAAACAGTTGCTGCAGAATTTAGAGACTGATTTCACTTCAACTCTGCCTAAAACCTACTCACTTCCTTCATCTGTAAACCTGCCAAGAGCAGTACATGCTGTAGAACAGCCATTTTCAAAAATACACTGAATTTTGGGTTCACTTTTTAAGAGACAAATGTTAGATTCTTATTCTGTTGGAAATTATGCTACAGTTAGCTGTACTTAGAAAACTTTACATCTGAAAATTATTCATCAGCAACTCGTTATCAAATTGTTAAGTTTTACAATGACTAGTTTGGGTATTCAAACTATCCTGTGTCAATACACGTGGAATAACTGATGTCAGTAAATGGAAGCACCGTGTCTCCATGTGGTCAGACAAATCCAGAGATGTTAGAGCAATTTCTCCACAGGGAAAATGCACAGCGCATCCATTGCTATCGGCCCTCTCCCAGACAAGGCTGCACAGGGCAGCTCTCCTGCTGATCACTGCAGCATGGCTTCATCCCTCTTTCATACCTCCATCCCTCCCCTGTCTTCGGAACCATCTCCACTGTCTCCACACACTACCTCATCCCGCCCTCCCCAGGCCTTTCTCTGTGCAGTGCCAAGTCACCTTCTACCAAAAGGAAACATATCATGACAATTTCATAACTCACCTTCCACACAGATCATATAATCCAAATGTCATACACAGCTGACAATGACAACATTTTCCTTTCTGTCCTATCCCCAAGCAGTGTCCACGTTGTCTTCAAGGTTCTGGCAACTAGCCTTGTTCTCTGCTCTTAGATCCACTGTTCTCCATGGAAGCAAGCAGGCCCACAACTTGGTTTGTGCATGGTCTTGCTTCTATTTGCCATTCAGGACTCAGATCACATGCTAACTTCTGAAACCTTTGGGGGTAACATCACATACGACAATCCCCATCACAACTATTTCCTGTCCCCTTTATGATCTTTAAAGCGCCAATAATACACGGAATTGCTGTGATTACTGATTTCTTCTGCTTACTGACAGTTTACCTATCTAACACGATATACAAGGACCCGTGCTAGTCTTCACAGTGCAGGAACAAGGTGTTCACTAAAGAGGCCACTATGTGAATATCTGGATAAACGTACACGAAGGAATTGATTTGTCTATTTGATATGCCATGCAACACAGTGGTATTTAAGGCAGTAACAAGAGAACATGGTATGGACTTAAGCAGTCTGTGACTTCATATCCTGGAAGACAGAATATCAAACACACTAGCAATACGTTTTAACATGGACAGCCATCAGAAAGAAGTGGCTATGCCACACTCACTTCCTAGGGTTTGAATCAGTGTCTGCTGTGGACCCAGATATCTACCATTTTAATAAGCATGATTCAGTGTCTGTTGTGGATCCAGATTTCTACCATCTTAATAAGCAATCCCTCCAAATGTGATGCAGTCATGCATGGCCCATTCGGGGAAATGGTCTGATGGGGATTGCTTCCATTTCAGTCCTGGTCATTTAAAGGGACCCCTACAGGGTTCAGTCATCTGGGGAGTCTATGAATGCCATTGTTTTACAGTGTGCTGCTCTTTGCTGCGAACTGCTCAACAGGATGTGTTCCTACAAGGCATCACAGACCAGCTGCTGGTCACACAGATGGGAAGAGAAAAGGAAATGACTGACCTGGTGAGTCCCACATGATCTTGTCACTCTACTGTACTGAATATAAGGATGGAGTAGTCTGTCTGCATCCAGTCAAGTCAAAGATGTGCAGTGACATCTTCCTCTTCTTTGTTCATTTCACAGACCCTTTATACACACCCATGTACACATCACACACACACACACACACACACACACACACACACACACACACTCACATTGGTGGCAATGATGACTCACATACTGGAAACAAGGGCTCATGTCAGCTTCTTGTCAACATTCTGCGTGTTCTCTCTGCAGTCCTGCTGTTCTTCTCATAGAAGAGACCTGACATTGATAGGCAGAGGACACAAAGTATCACTGACAAGAAGCATTTGCTTTTGGCTTTCTTCCCAGGGGTGGTCAGATAATCCAGAATTCTAGACAGATAACAAATGAAGAGCAGGTCCACTTGAATGTACTCCCACGGGCATGTTATGGGATAATTTAAGCATCACAGTATATAATGATGACAAAGGAGTACTCCTTTAAGAAATGGGTGTTTCTGAGTAGACACAAACGCATGAGTAAATCCATTAATAAACAAAAGATAAAAGGGAAACATTACTCAAAGACAAGCAATGCTTGTATACTAGTAACTGCACAGGGAAGTAGGCATCAGAGCAACACTTAGCAGGCGTCATGGTTATAATAAACATGGAAAGAACCATACATAAAACACCCCTCTGTACAAGTCCACAGCAACACTGCTAAAATCTGCATGACTGGATGGGAAAACAAGAGGGAAAACACACGAGTACTAACCTTTTCCTTTTTGTGTTGGGGAAAATAATATTAGATATTTTGAAAATAATTACCTAAGTATTCTTCATAATACAAACCTTTCTGGAGTTACACATACATACCTAACTCTTCACATGTATCCCCTTCTTTCTCTCCACCGTGATCTCAGCACCTCCCTGATGGAGCTAGCTGGGAGGTAAAGGACTATCTCTATGATTCCAAAGATGCCATTGGGGCAAACCTTTGACCTGTGGCTGCCTTAGAAATTTTCCCCCAAACTGGGTGTTGGACATTTGTTTCTGTTCTCATAATTCACTTGCAACTTCAAAGTACTGAATTTTGAACACAGCAAATATATGTTAGCATCAAAGACATTTTCATCATAGAGAATGTAATTAAATATTTTAACCTAAAAGATTCATCAATAACTCTGTCTAAATTTAACACAGACAGCTGACCACAGTGAAATGAATGTGTGGAAGCTGTAATTTAAAATCCCTGTCACTGGAGATAGCATCAGGAAATATGAAATAATTAGGAAAACTCTGCCCACTTCTCTGTAGTGCCTAGACACTGAATGGGACAACTCATTGCTGAGAGTAAAGATGTATAGATTCATCGACTGTGGTGATATTTTGTTTCTTCCATGACAATAAAGCTTGCCTGAGAATCAGTGTGTGCAGATAGCCACTAGTTAGCCACAGAAGACAGGCAGTGTTGGAACTCACCTTTCCCAACACTTAAGAAACAGAACTCTGTTTCTTAACATATTTGGTTTCTCACTCATATTTGGTTTCTAGCCATAAATAAAGGACATTGAGCCTATAATTCATGTTCCTAGAGAAGCTAAATAAGGTGAATCCAAAGACAAACACATAGGCATCCTCAGGAATATTAACCTTCATCAGGCGATGAAAGGAGACAGAGACAGAGACCCACACGGGAGCACCGGACAGAAATCTCAAGGTCCAAATCAGGAGCAGAAGGAGACGGAGCACGAGCAAGGAACTCAGGACCACGAGGGGTGCACCCACACACTAAGACAATGGGGATGTTCTATTGGGATCTCACCAAGGCCAGCTGGCCTAGGTCTGAAAAAGCATGGGATAAATCTGGACTAGCTGAACATAGCGGACAATGAGGAATACTGAGAATTCAAGAACAATTGCAGTGGGTTTTTGATCCTACTGCACGTACTGGCTTTGTGGGAGCCTAGGCAGTTTGAATGCTCACCTTATGAGACCTGGATAGAGGTGGGCAGTCCATGGGCTTCCCACAGGTCAGGGAACCCTGATTGCTCTTCGAGCAGATGAGGGGGGGGGACTTGTTCGGGGGAGGGGGAGGGAAATGGGAAGCGGTTGTGGGGACGAGGCAGAAATCCTTAATAAATAAATAAATTAAAAAAAAAAAAAAGAAACAGAACTCTGTGGGTTAAGGCCATCCTGGGCTACATTAGATTGATCCAGTCTAAAAGAGAAACAGAGTCAGGCAGTGGTGACTCACATCTTTCATCAAAGTGCTTTGGTGTCACACACCTTTAATCCCAGCACGAGGGAGATGGAGAATGAAAGGAATGTGGCTGGAAAAAGAGAGGAATATAAGGTGGGAGGAGATAGGAGATCCAGGCAGTCAGTCTGAGGTCTTGTAGAGACAGGATGCTCCATTTGGTCTGAGGATTTTTTCGGGGAAAGAACTAGTGTCTCGCTGCTCTGCTGTTCTGATCTTATAGCTCCAACTACTTAATATCTGACTCCAGATTTTATTATTAAGACCAATTAGAACTCACGCTACAATCATCTTCATGCAATGGAAGATACAGGTGTCTGTTCTCCTCATATAGTCCTATAGATCCAGTGCAATACCAACAGAACTCTAACAGACTTTTCATAAACTAATGGGCTTATCCTGAAATTCACAGTGAATATGGAGAACCCCAGCTTGAAACAACCTTATAAAGGAACAAACTCGGAGGATGAACACCTGACTTCCAAACTCCTTATAAACCTAGGGAAATGTAGACAGTGTGCCTGATTGGAAATGACAATAAGACAGAAAAGAATATGAAGGGGACAGAAGAGTCACACATGTGTGAGGGGACACCTTTAGCAAAGACTCAAAGACACTTCAGTGAAGCAGACATTTGTGCTTCACCGAGTTTTTCTGGGACTCCCCATAAGTGGTAGGGAGGTACAGCCCAGCACAGTGACCAGCAGCCTGAGGATAACCCTGTCGCTTTGATGACCTTGACCCTGGTAAAGATGAATCTAGGATGCAGTAAAGAATTTCAGAAACAGCCAGGATGAAGCAAAGGTTGTGAGCTTATTAATCCTGTGGATAGAAGCTCACACAGAATAAGGATGGCTCCTGCATGATGGCCTGAGAGTGGACTGGAGAGAGACTTGAGATTAGGTGTCATTGCAAAGGGTATGTGAGGTGGGCAGGGAGGGAGGTACAGTGGGAGAGGGAGAAATGGGAGGATTTTTATGGCTCTAAAGTTACATTGCTGAAAGAATGTAATTCAGAAAATTTCAAGATTAAATTACATTAAAGCCTATATTCAGGTTTTTAAATTAACTATAAGAATATTTTTACTCTTTAAATGGGTTCTATTTTTCCATTAGGAAAAAAATATTCAATAGGTTATTAAAAAGTAAAAAATGAAACTAAAAAGCAATGCTTTTAAATGTGCTTATTCCTTTTAAAGTTTCTTTCAGTAAATTAAATTGTAAGGTGATTATGTGACTTAGGCGATAGAATAGAGTGCTATCATCATCCATCTCAAGGCTACAAGTATTCTGCCCCTAAGAAAGCATAACTGCGTTTTTTATTTTCTGCTTTTGAATGCTTTTCCACAGGGAAGTCTGTGCACCACGTGAGTACCTAATGCCCACAGAGGGTGCCAGACTTTATGAGATCTCTCGGAACTGGAGTTACAGACAGTTGTGAACCATCGGGTAGGTGTTGGGTATCAACCCTGGATCCTCTGGAAGACATCCAGCGATATTAAAGAATGAACCCTATCTTCAGACTCTAGTTTATTTGTTGTTATTTTTAAACATTATTTGGGATGTCTTTATGAATAGTTGCATCATATCTGCAGGTAATTTTGGCTCTATCAGTTGGCTTGAGGTTTCTTGAATGTCAGAAAAATGTAAAAATGATTACAGGGTGAGGGGCTGTGTGTTCCCTCTCATATCCCCTTCAATGCCCTGTCTTTCTGTCTTATTTTGGGACAAGCAGACCTCCCCATGCACAAATATAAATATAGACAATCGTATATCGCAGGATACAAAAGTCAATCGAGAATGAACAAATGATCTACACAGGACTAGAGAGATATCTCAAAAGTTAAGAGTGCCTTTTGCTATTGCAGAGGACCTGACTTCAGTTTCCAGCACCCATATGGTGGGTGACAGATGTCTGTAACTCCAGATCCAGGGGAACTGACAGTCTCTTCTGGTCTCAGTGGGCATCTGCACTCAAACGTGTATTTGGCACACACAGACATACAGGCAGACCCTCAGTAAATAGGGAAAATAAACCTAAAAGAAGTCCAAATTACAACCTAAACATGAATCTTGTAGCAGAATACAATTGGATGTTCAGGTTCATGAATTACAAACAAACTTCTTAGATATGGCAAACCCCCTTTCATTAAATGAAGAACTGGAGTGTTATGAATTCCATAAAGTGAGAAAATATCTATTCTTCCAAATATATGATAGAAACATATTTTTCTTACCTGGGAAAATGAATGTGGGAAATTGTATATCAGATGACAGTCTTCTTGTATCCAGAATACAGAAAGCTTCTAAAGGAGACACTAAGAAAATAGACAATTCAGGAAATAAAACTTGACCAGAAGGGTGAGTAGATGCTCCACTCAGAGAAACATACAGCAGCAACATCCTTAACACTTAGGGAAGAGAGACAGGTTGTAGTAATAAGGGCGGCGGGGCTGCATCCCTGGCACCCGGCCGCCCCCACGGCTAGCTTTACCCAAAATAATTACACGGAAACTGTATTCATTTAAACACTGCTTGGGCCTTTAGTCCTAGCCCTTACTGGCTAATTCTGTTATCCCGATCAACCCATCTCTAATAATCTGTGAGCACCGGTCTTACCGGGAAGATTCTAGGTCGGAGCTTCATCTCGTGTGTCTGCCCAGGAGCGGGGCATGGCGTCTCTCTGAGGCGTCTGCCCCCGAGAGGAGAGCTGTGGAGTCTGAGCTCACTTCCTCTTCCTCCCAGCGTTCTGTTCTGTTTACTCCTCCCACCTATCTTCTAACCAATAAAATGGGCCAAGGCAGTTCCTTTATTAGCCAATGACCTTCCTCCATCAACAGGTGACTCTGAGGGGACTCTAGACAACCCCATAAAATACTCAGAAATAAAGACTTGTCATACAAAGACCTGGCAAGTTTGCGGAGGATGACTCTCCCATACCCACTGCTGGTGGCCATGGAAAACAGGATGATAACCTGGAAAAATCTTTTTCTGTTTCTTCATATGTTAATTGTCATCTGGCCATCACAACCCAAATATATAACCTGGAGAAAGAGGACATATTTTCTTTTAAAGACTTATTTATTTCAGTTCACAACAGCTTTATATACAAGACACTGAAATTGAAAACAACCTCAGCAACAGGCAACAGGCAAAGACTCATTTCCCAAAACCAGCATGGCAGTTTTCAACTGTTAACTCCAGTGCCAAGGGATTCAATGTCCACTCTTGGCTTCCATGAGCAACAGGCATGCATGCGCTCTTCATACCTATATGTAGCCAAGCATATATACACATGAAATAAACTAAATTATAAAACTTGCCGTGTAGCTATACAATGCTACACTATTTAATATTAAGAATGAACAATTATCATGGGAAACAAAAGAGATAAATTTAAACATATATTCAAGATGAATGAAGGCCAGATGTCTCTAAACTCTGGTTCTATCCTAATACATTCCAGCATATATAAATTTGTCTATAATATCAGATTGTTGTATTTTTCTGCAGACAGGGTTGGGCAGTGGTTGGGTATGAGAACCTAAGTAACATAAAGAAACTTTATGGATTGGTAAATAATAATGAAACTTATACCTACCTGAGTATAAGAAGATGTCTATTGTCATTATGGGGAAAAGTGGAAAAATACAAATTACGTTTTATATTTGGTGACTTGGACTTCAGAGATTGCCCCATGGTTAACAGGACTTGCTGTTCTTACAGAAGACCTGGGCTGGGTTCTCAGCACTCACTTGCTGGCCCACAATGGACTGCATATCTGTTTCTAGGGGAAACAACACCCCTTTCTGTCCAAAGCAGCACACCCTGATCCTGAAACCAGAGCAAAAGAAACATACACTGACCCTGAGACTAGAATCAATTCACTGGCCCTGAAACCAGAGCCCAACGTTTTAAAAAGGCCAGTGAAATAAACACACTTTGCCCCTGAAACCAAAGCCACAGAAACACACTCTTCCACTTACCAATTCAGCGAAACAAACTAACCAATCTCTCAGCATAAAAGGAATCAATCCCAGAGCAGGAAAACAAGCTAATCACTGAGCATGAAACCACCCTGTACCTGTTCAGTTGGTAGCTGCCTTTCCCACTCTTGCAGGGTCAGCCACCTCCTGGACTCTTCCCTCCCAGTGAATCTCTTGAATGAGGCTTGGGTAAGACCTTCTTTGCCTAAGAAGAACAGAGAAGCAATGACTTCAACTGGAGTCAAGCGGAGGAGAGGGGAGCAGAACTGGAAAAGTTTCTCTTAGCAGAGCAGAGTTGTTACACTTCTGAGGATCTAAGCAGAGCTGTAACAACCTGGTTGGGGTAACCCTCCCCTACCAGAGCAGAGCTGTTAATTTGGGGCAAACTTTCCCTGAAGCAGGGCTGTGAGCTCCTAAGCTTAAGGTGAATTTGCAGTATTCATTGATGCCATCTTAAATGGATTCCTCTAGCCAATACTGGGACAAATGGAGCATGGAAATAGAGAACGGCAATAGATGAAAACAGTTTAGGAAAATGGGTGTTGAGCCATATTGATATAAGTCAGCACATGAGTAAAGAAATATGGAGATAAGTAAGCAGTGTACTACACACCAGGTCATCATTGAAGAGGACCAGGAGAATTATAACACATAACCTATCACAGCAGTAAGTGATTAACTAACTTTCACACATATATATCCAGGGACATATCTGCACAAGCATGAGTATATACACAACACACACTAACAATTGTCAATGTAAACACACAGCTCTCACCTCGAAGGAAGAAGTGAGTTCATTCTGGAATCAAATATCTGTGAATAAACATGATTGAGACAGGTTTATGTTAGTACAAATTGCATGTTACAATGTGGAAACAGTTTCATGAAGTTTTTATAATAACAGAATGAAGAAACTATAGACTCTCCTTCAGTGCATTGGAGATAATATTAAGTAGACCATTATGGTAAAGCAGAGAAACCTCAGCTACTAGCTGCTATGTGATGACACACAGTACTTTGACTCGCAGAAGCTTAGAGCTTTGTTAAGGAGACATATTCTGATAATTTAAATGTCAGGTCCAACGTCATCTGTTAGTGACAAGGTGTTAGGTAAGTCCAACACAGGGGGCCCAAGGAGTGGCTACTCATGGGCTCAAGAGAACACAAAGGAAACTTTAATTAGGCATTGGGACTGCGACTTCCACCATCTCCATATCACTGCAGGTCTAAGAGTCAATCAACCAGGCTTTGCAGACCAGCCTCTGCCAAGGAATTCCTGTACACACACACAGAGACACCTCTCATTCTCACTCTCCTAGCTTCCTGGTATTTACTGAGAGCTCAAGGGGTACAATCACGTTACAACAGACTCATCTCTGACCACACACAGGATGGTGAGAGCTACTAAATTATGTGGTCTGAATGAGATTCCTGTGACGATGGCCATGGATTTGTCTCTGGGACATTTCTCTCATTTGTTTCAGACTGTCAATAATAACCTGTAAATGCCGATAAGAATTTAACGACAAACTGCATTACACATCAAATAACGTTTTCATCATGGGATAATCCATGCTTTCAACAAAAAATATCCTTTGTAAGTTTCATTGACACTTGTTTCCTGACAGTTTACAGAAGATTTAATAATTTGTTCACAGAAAAAACAATATGTATAAATTTGTTTAAAAAATAATAGCAGTTATAGATGAATCAAAAAGTACAAATATTTGTGCATTATCCCGACAGATAGATCCATAGTGCTGATAGGCCGAGAGATTTCCAAAAATTGCTGAATTGGAGACAACCTGTCTTAATGAAGGACAACTATGTTCGCAGCTCAAACAATTCATTATTAGTAAGATGTCTGTTGATTCAAAACTGAGCTACAGATTGGATGCACTAACAACAAAATAGCACTTATTCTTTTTAAAAATTGAGTGGATAACTGTAAACATTGTAGACTAAATATATAGCTTGTGTAAACCTTAGAAACAGACAAATGTTAGAGAACAGCATTGCCTGATAGGAGACCTCTGTTTGAACCTACAGTAATTGGACCAGCATGCTATTGAATCAAAGTTGGCAAGAAAAAGTCCAAAACCAACATTCCACGCTCACATCCACACATTTACAGACCACTGCCTATATCGAGTCAACATTTTTCCTGTACCTGATGCTGGCATCAAGCTTGTGTGTAGTGCGTGTAGTGTGTGCTGAGAATAACTGACCATACTCCTGCTGCAGCCTCCCAGGCACTGGGATTACTGGCATATGTACCATGATTGGATAATTGGAGAACTGATGTTTCACAAATAAACAAGGCAATTTGATGCATAAAGATGGCCTTTCAGGAAGCAATACTGAGGTAAGTGTATATCCATACCCACAAATATAAACTAGGACCTAAATCGTATCATATGTGAAGACCATTCAAAATAAATTACAGATGTAAAAATATAAAAATCAGCCTATAAATGTCAAACAGAACACAAGAAGAAAATCCCTGTCACTGAGTGCCAGGCAAAGATTTCGCAGACAAGACACCAAATAAAAACCGTAATTGAAGAACAAGAGAAGGTGGGATCTTACAATTTAAAATCTCCCGCTCTTCCAAAGACATGGATGAGAATTGAGATGATAAGTCTGAGGCTAAGAGAAAAGTTAGAAATACATATATCTGATAAAACATTTCTAACATTTCTATGAAACATACGGAAAACCTCAAATGTCAGCGAGCAATCTCACGCACAGAGTGGGAAGTCGGGATCACAGAGTGCTCATTTGGCCTCATTTCCCTCCTGCTCACTCTCCGACAACTCCCCTCCTGGACAATGGCTCCAGCACAGCCCTGTACAGAACAGCACAGGAGGAGGCAGAATGGTCCCAAGTCTCTCTCCTTCCGGAGAAACACAGGCTGCAAGCCCCGAGGTAGGAGTGGTCCTACTTGGGTCTGGAATCCCTGCATCTGCCTCCCAACCCTCAGAAAGATTCTGGTGCTCACCTCCGGGAATCCATAAGCTCAACTCAGTCCAAACACCAGGAACTGAATGCTCCTTTCCAGGACATCGTCCGGTCGCCATTTGAAAAGAGTCGCCATAATGACCCCGGTTTCTATGACAACCGTAATGCTGCCTCCCCCTTAGTAACCAGGAATGGCTCCGCCCAGCCCTCCCTTACTTCCTCTCAAAGGAAGAACTCTTCACCCTTGTTTTCACCCAAGAAAGCATACCCATTAGAGAAACTGTCCCCACTACGAATGCAGAGCTTTTCTTTTTTTTTTTTTCCGCTCTGTGAACAAAGCATATCCCTAAAAGCCCGACCACATTGTACTCACCAGACCATGGTGGTATCTATGGAAATGTCGTCACAAAGATGAACATTGCTGTCACGGTGACAAATGAGCAATTTTATCCAATAATTAGCTATGCATATATAACCTCATCACGGGACTTTAAATTCTGGGACACCTTGTACAGAAACATCCTGAAAAAAGAAAATCAAAGGTTAAAAGTATTGTTTTGGAGATGCCGGGGCTCGAACCCGGGGCCTCATATATGCGAAACATGTGCTCTACCTCTGAGCTACATCCCCACACCTGGTAACAGCTTCATCAAAGCCCTTGTGAAGTCAGAGGAACCGCGCCAACGTTCAGAGTCTCTGCAAGGGTCTGCATCAGGTCCTTTGAGCATACTGGATTCCAGGTTGAGTTTAGTGCTTTGATAGGATTCTTGGGACATTTGTTGCATGAGAAAACAATCTATTTTCAATCAAAGGAAAAATAATAACAATAAAAATAATAACAACAACAATTATAAGAACAAACCTTATATTCTTTGAAGCATGGTAAGCTAACAATGAATGATACTTTGAATTACTCAGTCCCATCAATTTTACTTCAACTTTACCTGCAGGTGGTTCAACATGCCAGTATCATGGGGAATTAATAATAATATGTTGCTGATATGCGGTCATATTTGAGAGTATGAGTAGCTTCCTGAAACCCTCTCTAGCATACCTCCTTTCTCTTTTAAAAGACGCCTTAGTTTCCGGGCTTGAAAGGCAGTTTTTATAATCTTGGTCAGGCTGCTCATTTTGTTTCTTAACGTTGCCAATACTGTCCATCACTCCATTTACGGCAATAACTAAATGTGCGGTAGCTATTGGTTCACAAAACCCTAAGGTGCTGTCACTTTCTGCATGTTTATGTATCTCACTGCATGCTTTGTAAGTTTCAAAAATGAGAGGTTTTCTGAAATATGTCCTCTTTTCATACATCACCTAGTATATGTCTCAATATACAAAATCATTAAATAAATATTTCATGTATGTTCAGATGAGTTAGAAAAGTGAGTCTTTTTAAAAATAAAACAATCATTTTTTTTCATTTACATACCATCCAAGTTTCTATTCCCTCTCCTCAGCCCATTCCCTCTTCTTACCCGTCCCCCCAACCTTCATCTACTCCTCAGAGAAGCCAAGGCACATTGCCCAGAGGAATTAATACCTGGGGCTTTAATTTAATTCATTGGTCCATGTGTCTGCTTTTATGCCAATACCAAACTGTTTTTATCACTACAGCGCTATGGTGAAGTTTTAATTCAGGGATGGTGATGCCTCTGGAAGTTCCTTTATTGTACA